TGGGGGCGGTGGGGGGGGGGGGGGGGGCATAATTGAAACACTTGTGGCATATGCAATTACTTTCACATCGTTGTTCATCTTTTTTACTGATAGCGCCCTCCATTATTATTGGCACCCATGGTTAAAGCCTTAAAATACATGTCATTTTGATTGCATACTCTCATACTGAAAAATGTATACATGCAGAATCAAACTCCTACATATTTATACACATACACACACACACACACACACACACACACACACACACACACACACAGCATAAATACATACTAGTGAAGGTGCCCGGAACACATTGTCAAGAAAATCTTTGGGTTGGCTACCACTTTAAAGTTCTGAAGAATGGGGCCCCATGGTCGCATATTTGGACAGCACATTAGCATTAGCAGATAGCTAGGTTGCACCACCGATCACCGCACAGGGATTCACAATGGGCCACGGTCACTCTATGGGCTTCCGAGACTTGAGAACCGTGTTTGAACTGTGTCGTTTTCTCACGAATCAGTCTTGGGCATCTTTTTTCCCCATCCACTTGATTTGCAGCTCAGCACACAATGTCGCAGTATCAACTCAACACGATGCCGCATTTCTTCTTGGTGACTCTTTGATTATTCATGCTCCAAGAAAGTCACAAAGGGCTTCAAGTGATTCTTTAAGCCCAGAGAGGCTGAGATTCCACCATCTGGAATATCGTTGAAGGTCAGCGATGCTTTGCCGATTTGTATCGATTTGTATCGATGCGTTCCTCCTCTTTGGAGATTTTCTGCACCAAAGTGCCTTTCGTCACGAATAAAGTCCACAGCTTGTTTTTTTGGGATACCTCGAATTTGCAGCACAAGACCCGCCCATGAATATATTCACTTTGATGGAGCTTCAATAACATCCGTGTCTTCTGCTTTTGGAACGCATGATTTTGGGGGTGGGGCGGGGGCTGGAGACTGCCTGAGTGACACGGGCGGCGATGGGAGACCCCTGCTCAAAAGGTGAGAAGGGAAGCAGTCAGTGATTCTCAACGCAGCTGCAGTTGCTTCCATTTATTTTGCGGCTTCATTGACCACTGCTCCTCTCCCGAGCGCACTTGTGCATCTTCACCTGGTCCTTACGAGAGAATCTTTTCTCGCACCTTATGCAACTGAAGGGTTTCTCACCAGTGTGTCTTTTTGCGTGCCTCGTTAATTTGGAGTTCTGAGTGAATCTCATACCGCAAACTGAGCAGCCAAAAGGTTTTTCTCCAGTGTGTGTTCTCGTGTGTTCTTCTAACTGTGCCTTCTGTCTGAATCTCATCCCGCATACAGAGCAGGCAAAGGGTTTCTCCCCAGTGTGTGTTCTTGCGTGTAGTCTTAAATTTCCCTTTGTGGGAAACTTTTTGTCACAAACTGTGCAGGCAAAAGGTCTGTCCCCGGGGTGTCTTCCCACGTGGGTGGTTAAAGTCCATCTTTGAGCAAATCTTTTCCCGCAAACTGAGCAGGCAAAAGGTTTTTCTCCAGTGTGTGTTCTTGTGTGAGCGGTTAAAGTCCATCTCTGGGAATAACCTTTCCCACAAACTGAGCAGGCAAAAGGTCTCTCCCCAGTGTGTGTCCTTGTGTGCCTTGTTAAATCTACCTTCTGAATGAATCTTTTCCCACAAACTGAGCAGGCAAAAAGTTTTTCTCCATTGTGTGTTCTTGTGTGTCTTTTTAAGGATAACTTGCTGACAAAAGATTTGTCACACAGAGAACATTTCACTCTTTTGTTGGCAGTGCCACACGTCAAATCACCTTTCGAGTGTTCATCATCATCAGTGTCGGAAGACTGTGATGTGACGGCGTCATCATCCAAAAGGGAAGCTAAAAAGGCATCTGTTTGTGATCTTCCACCGTCTTCTTTTCCATCACCTTGTTCACTCTTCACACTGACACCAGTCAATGGAAATTTAGTGATTTCATCCTCCCGCTCCTCTACTTTAATGCGAGGTGGCCCTATCTCCTGCTCCTCTTTAATTTGGGCGGAATTTGGCTCCTCCTCCTCTTTAATTTGGGGGGAATCTGGCCTCTGCTGTTCAGGACCAAGATCTTCTTCTTTCAGCTCTGCAGGACATGAGAAAACAAACACACGGGTTGATAGAGTCGAGCTTTACCCAGTCATGTGTCATGTTGTGACTTTGAAGTCTGAAATGTTGATCATCTAAAAATGAAAAACAGTTTTTCCTTCATTGTTAAGTGCAAATGCATTCTATCGTCTTCAGTATTTATCATTTTTCTTTAACTGAGCAAAAAAAAAAAAAAATTTTCTATCTGATAGAGTTTTCAGTAGAATAAATGGCCGCTGTCGGACAGCCCGCGTAGGTGCAGCGGGATGGCTGGCTGGCTGGCGGAGCTGAGGATGACGAGATCTGCCGGCGTGTATTTGGAACTGAAATTCGGCGTTTAGAGTTGAAGCGGATCTACGAGGGACAGGAGCACTGAACCAGCTTCTGTATTCGGCAATGGACACGACTGCTTCTTGTTTACTTCCAAACTTTGTGTGACATCATGCAGGATTTGAGCATGACTTCTCTGAGCCATTGGTGAAAGGAGACGTTGAGTCTCTCCTCCTTCATCTATAACCGCTTTGAACAAACGTATGAGTGAAACGCTTGTCCGAGCCACGATCTGCGTTACTCTCGCACAATCAGCAAAGCGCATGCGCAGCAGGTAGGCCATTTTTGAACGCGAGTTACGGCAATCATATTCGGACAGAATACGCGAGCAATGCCTTCCCAACTGATGGCTAGCTTTAGCTAGCTAGCTACTGCACTTCCAAAAGCAATTGCCTTAGTTTTATTGGAGTTGTGTTGAAGGACATTTTGGTTCATCCGTGTATTTAATTGAACTGTTGCCATTAAGCGCCAGTTTTAAATGTAAGTGCGCGTTATCTGCAACGCCATGTTAACCAACATCGGCGTTCTGAAGAATTTGGCCCAAGGGTAGCGTGGACAGAGAGAACGTAAACATTACCAGCACGCTACGTTGCACCATTCATCACTGCAAAGAGTTTTACAAGGAGCCACATTCACCGTGTCGGTATTCAGATTTGGTCAGTGAATTCTTCTAAAAAAAATCGTTCTTGTATTCCTTTTTTAATTCAATTGATTTACAGCTCAGCAGACAACGCTACAGTCTCTCCTCAACGTGAAGGCAGATTTCTTCCGTGGTGGCTCCTTTTTCTTGGTTAAGTCCATCTTTATGCGGTGCCCCCCAGTGTTCAGACTGAGTTATTACAGTTGAATCAAAGGTGGGCCTTTCGAACATGACGCAAAAGTGGCGCTGCTTTCACTCTGCTCTTCCTAAATGTTACTTGAAGCGCTTGTTTGGTTTAAAGTCATTCTTTTCGCTTCACAGAATTCCTTGAAAATAAATTATTTAGCCACCTCGTCCAATTGGGACTTTTTTTCTGGCCATTGATAAATGGATTTCATTTCATTTTATAAAAAAATAAAATAATAACAATAATTTCGTTATGTGTTCTATACAAAACGCATTGTATGAACAAATGGCGGAAAAGATTGCACCCTAGTAGACAAATCACTTGAACAACACCATCTTTTCATTCTTTTTTCAACCGCAGAGAAATGAGTTCCTCCGTAGGGAGGAGGGGAGGAGCCGGTGACTTGCACTCACAAGCTTGTGTCTCTTCATCTGAATCTCTTAGAACAGGCTCCGCAACTGAACATATTGTCTCCAGTGTACGCTAAGGTGTTTTGGTAAGCTCGGCTTGGGGTGGCCACAACGTAAGTGGGGGGCAAAAAGGCTTTTGGCCAGTGTTTCTTCTTTGCGTGCCTTCTTCAATCTTCCTTTGGAGAAAATGTTGGACCAAAAACGGAGGAGGCAAAAGGATTTTCTCCAGTGTGCCCGCTTGCGTGTGCTTTTAAAAGTTTCCTCTGGGTGAATCTTTTTTCACATCCTACGCAGCCAAAAGGTTTTTCTCCAGTGTGCGTTCTTCTGTGTGCTTTCAAATGTCCCTTTTGTCTGAATCTGGAGCCACAAAGTGAACACGCAAATGGTTTCTCCCCGGTGTGCGTTCTCGTGTGTATGTTCAATTCTTTCTTGATCTTAAAGCCTTTACCGCATAGCGTGCAGGCAAAAGGTTTTTCTCCGGTGTGTGTCCTGGTGTGCGTTTTTAAATGGTCGTTTGTCGAAAACCTCTTGTCACAAAGTGAACAGGCAAAGGGTCTTTCCCCAGTGTGTGTCCTCTCGTGAGCTGTTAATTCTCCCTTGGTCGAAAACCTTTTCCCGCAATCCGAGCAGACAAAAGGTTTTTCTCCAGTGTGTCGTCTGGCGTGTCTTGTTAAATGTGTCCTCGAGGAGAATTTCTTCCCACAATCTGAGCAGACAAAAGGCTTCACCCCAGTGTGCGTTTTCGAGTGATCTCGTAAGTGGCCCTTTCGGGAGAAATTTTTCCCACAAACCGGGCAGGCAAACGGTCTCTCGCCAGTGTGCGTTCTTGTGTGTCTTGTTAAGCTTTCCTTGGCAGAAAATGTCTTAGCGCAAAGTGAACAGGCAAAAGGTTTTTCTCCGGTGTGTGTTCTGGTGTGAATTGTCAAATCTCCCTTTCTCGAAAATACTTTCTCACACTCCGAGCAGGCAAAAGGTTTGTCCCCAGTGTGGGTTCGGGTGTGACTTATTAAGCTATCCTTAAGAGAATACCTTTTGCCGCAAATTGAGCAGGCAAAAGGTTTTTCCCCGGTGTGTTTTCTTGTGTGGCTCGTCACATCTCCCCTCCTGGAGAATCTTTTCCCACAAAGCGAGCAGGCAAAAGGCTTTTCGCCAGTATGAGTCCTCGTGTGTCTTTTCAAGGATGACTTGTTGACAAAGGTTTTGTCGCACTGGGAACACGCCACTCGTTTGTTGTCAGCGTGACGTGTTAAATCACCTTGAGCGTGTTCGTCGTCATCGTCGTCACTGCCAGTGTCAGAAGAGCGGGATGCTGTGGCGTCCCCGTCTGAAAGTGGCGGGAGGAGGCCGTCCGCCTGGGATCCTGCATCGACGAGTTCACTCTTCACGCTGACTCCAGTCAATGGAAACTTGCCGATTTCCTCCTCCTGCTCTTCCTCCTTCATTTGGACGCACTCCGGCTCCTGCTGCTCCTCGGAACTTGGATGATCTTCAGTGAGAAAACAAAATGTGACTTTGATATTGTGTGTTATTCAATCTAAAAAGGTTTGGCAATGTTGAAGACCAAATGCCATGAAGAGAACAAGCCTACACAATTCAAAGGGAAATGTCTTCAACAAACGGAATCTGAACCTACAGAGACAAAAAGATTGCTCATTGAACCGTGTGACATTCCAAACTCGACCTCAGCCAGGTCCGACCTTTTCGGTATCTGATACAGTCATTGAAATTGATATGATTGCGATATATGACAGTTTTCGGTGGCACAAATGACTTTGGGACAGTTTTGTCACCTGCCGCCCTCAGACTTTTCTTCGGCAATGTTTGGAAATGCGACACTTAACCTTCCAATGAAGGTAAGAGACTTGGACATTGTGTCACAGGGACACACGGCTGGCTTCAACTTGACTGTTGATTACTAAAGAATGGAAAGACTGAGGATAGATAGATAGATAGATAGATAGATAGATAGATAGATAGATAGATAGATAGATAGATAGATAGATAGATAGATAGATAGATAGATAGATAGATAGATAGATAGATAGATAGATAGATAGATAGATAGATAGATAGATAGATAGATAGATATGACTGAGGCAATACCTGGCAATACGAGCTTCCCTGCTCTGACGATTACAAGTAAAAGTTTTGGACCTTTTTGAGTCAGGCAAACATCGAAGACTAAGGCATGACAAAAATCAACCTTTTCGTCCCAAAACTTCCGCAATGCAGAGCAACACCGCTGACTTGACAAAAAGCACGTCGCCACTGAACAAGTGGTAATGCGAACTCAACCAACCCGTTCTGTGTAAGAAAACTCCAGGTTCCAACTTGCAACGGTCAGGTTGTGGCTTGATGTCCTCTTTTGCGCCACAAAGTTCCCGCTCGTACTCCGTTGTCTTTCTTGCGCACATTTTCAAGCCAAAGTCAGAACACTTTGCACTCACTTAGTCGTTTGAACAATGCCGTGCTTCCAAACGCGTCTCTTTGTTAGCGGCCAGCAAGCTAAGCTAAGTTAGATGGGCAAGCTTCGATGTGCAGACAGACAAGTTTATCCGGACGCGAAGGCTTAATTTCAAAACCGGTTCGTAGAAATAGGACGCATAGCGTCGAGGCATTAGATTGTGCATTCCTCATTCAGGGAACAATTTAATTTGGTCAAACGCCACGTCCGGACCGCGATCTGCGAATCTGACGTCATCTACAGTGCGCATGCGTAACAGGTCGGCCATGTTGATCGCAAGCTACGGCAACTACACTCGGACAAACACCTGGCCGCTCATTGGCCTCTTCGAATCAACTGTCGAATATTTCCCTCGCCTTGCTTTGACCTGCGTTGCATGACGTCATTAGGCCGATGAAAGGATGCATCCTTTTCCAAAATAAGGAAAGGACAACACCGCTTCGAATAAACCGCCACTATTTTGACGTCATACCGCGACGGCGGACTTTACCTGCAAAATCTTCGATGAACAACAAGATGAGAAATATACATATACAATTTATTTGCGGCGGGGATCACTGATGATGTTTTTCAGTGATTTTGTAGGTGCCCATTCACGAATTCATTTCGGAGGTTTGTGGTCGGGATAAAGAGGAAAAGCTTTTTTATGACTAATTTTTAAGGATTTGCTTTTTTGAAACGTTATCATTTAAATTCTTCAGCGTTAGACGAGAGAGTCTTCGCGCAGTCTGACAACTCAGTCGGTGTCCTGTTGCTTTAAATGTTGCGGACGTAAAGAATTCGGGGTAATAAGGTTGGCCAAGAGGAAGGGTCTGAAAGGTTGCATCCAGGCACCTTTCCAAAACATTTAGAGAAGTCAAACGGTCCTCTCCTCCGAGAACCCCCGGGTCATCTCATTCGGCTCGGACAGGAGAGGATATTTCATCAGCAAAGACAAGTCGAAGAAGCCCTTGGACAAAGTAGGTCTGTGGTGCCAGCTTAAACAAATTGTGGGGCGCATGCGGGGTGGGGGGGGGGGCATAATTGAA